TCCGAAAAGGCCTCTCAACAGCGGATAGTGTGATTGACCTATTGAGTGCTGTTGAGCATAATCACTACAACAAGAACTCAACTCTGGCAATATTCTTTGACATCAGCCAGGCTTATGACAATGTACAGCATTCCGCAGTTCTGAGAAAGCTAACACAACTTGGAATGACGGGTCATTTACAGGTCTTCCTAAAGAATTGTTTCGCTGGACGAACGCTCCAAGTTCGGCTGGGACGAGCAGTGAGCTCGCAGCGTAAATCCCTTTGTGGCCTGCCCCAAGGAAGTGTACTATCGCCGATACTTTTTAATATCCTTTTGTCAAAGTTACCAGAAGCACTCCTCAAGCACACTCTTCCTACTAGTATGTCAATTTACGCGGATGATATTTGTATTTGGACTTCAGGCTTCAGGCATCACGGTCTACGAAATGCTGCTCAAGCTGCGATTAAAGCCTCGAGCAAGTACTTAGCTGAGTGCGGACTCCAGTTTTCACCAGAGAAGACGGCGTTCATTCTTTTTCCCGGAAAAGATCGAAACAGCACATGAATAGATCTTCAGGTAAACGGAACTCCGATTCGTCATGTCCGGCAGCATCGATTTCTAGGCTTCTCCATCAATTCTCGGCTGAATTGGCTCTCACAGGCAATGGCTACGGCAAAGTCCACAGTAGTAGTGAGAAATGCCATTAGGAGGGTGGCAGGACAGTCGTGGGGGAACTCTCCAAGGTCTATGCTACGTCTCCATTCAGCATTAGTAGTTTCCCGCATCTTATTCTCCCTCCCTTATATGAAGTTATCACGGTCCGACACTGAACTTCTCGAACGCATCCACAGACGAGGACTTCGTAAAAGCCTTGGTGTCCCCAGTTCTACCAGAAATGACCTGGTGTACATAGAGGCACAAGCTCTGCCACTGCCTCTTTTGGCAACGCAACGCCTACTTCTACAGAAGCTCCGCTTGCACGAAACAGCTACTGGAAGGAGCCTGCTCCAACGACTACCGAAAAGGACGAGTTCGCGCTTTCACATTTCTTTACAGACTCTGAAACACCTAGGGTGGCAATCAGAAGCGCGACCAGATAGTTTTGACTACCAACCTAAGCCACCATGGGAGGCATACATCCCAAAATGCAATGAGAAGATCCCGCGTATACCAAACAAGAAAATATCAAACGAAGTGGTGCTGAAAATGACAGCGACGGAGTACATTGAAACAACATTTAAAGATTTTTTGCAAGTTTACACGGATGGTTCTGTAAATCCTCATAAAAGAAGTAGCACAGCCGCCTATAATGTCCCAGCCTATAACCTTCAGTGGAGCGGCCGTATCGACCAAATGGTGTCCTCCACGACCGCAGAAATAATAGCAATTGTGGAAGCACTCCATACTCTTAAGAGATTTACACCGCAAAAAGTAGTTGTGCTCACAGACTCTCGGTGTGCATTGCAACAGCTAAAACATATACAAGGAACATCGGAAATCGCGGTGGCTGCTCGGTCCACGACAGAATCCCTTGAGGACTCCGGTTTCAAAATATGTTTTCAATGGATTCCCGCCCACGTTGGACTCGCCGGAAATAAAAGAGTGGACAACCTTGCTACGAACGCACACAATAAAGAGCGAACAATACACACACCTGACGACCCGAAAGCTTTCCGCATACGTGTCAAAGAACATCTCGGCTCTTTGACGGAGGCAAAAAATACTACGCCGCAAGGAGGCAACTCTACTTTACCGACTTCGCACCGGAACCGCTCGCACCAGACAACTTTTGCACAAATGGGGTAAGGCACCTTCAGCCTCCTGCGACAGTTGTGGTGTTACAGAAGATTTAAATCACCTGCTTTGTGATTGTAATAAATTCGAGAGTCATCGAAAGGCCTTCGCTCAAGAACTTAACAGGCATAACTTCAAGATCAACGACATTACAGATTTAATATATCCAACTGGAAGAAGAGCTCAAAGAAAGCTACTACAGACCCTTTTCCTAAACTTCCTCCAGGCGACTGGACTACAAGCACGACTATAGAATGAAATACTAAGTGCCATCAACACTTGAAAGACCGGAAGTGTGCGTGACTGGACTTGAGACTTATCTTCGAAACAAGACAAACACTAAGTTTTGTTTTTCTTTTTTTTTTGTGTTGTGTGCGTGTGTGAATGTGTTCTTTTCTTTTTCAATCATCATTTATTTCAGTTAGTTTTATTCATTTCATTATTTCATTGTATTTCTGGGCGGGACAATGCCGGCCTAATCGGCAAGGCTAAGTCCGCCCAAATATTTTAATGAAGCGTCACCTCTCTGTCTCTCTCGCAAAGCAGAACAAGTGCTAATGTGAAAAATTGTAGGTTTTCCTTTTCAGTAATGCCTTTAAAATGTGTGCTATCCTCTACTTTTATTATTCGCGTGTTTTTGATGGAGATCATTTGATTAATATCGACTCCCCCCTCCCCCTTCCCAGTGCTGACAAGTCGTTCAGCAACGCTATCACTTGAGCTGCACGCTTAATAGCTGCGAAAGAAACAACGCGGTACTGAAATAATAAGGAAAAATAGGCAAACAAATCTCAATAAATCTCTCACTTTTTTAATGGTGAGAGGAACAATAAACTGGTGTATTGTTTTTTGTCATCGTGTTGCTGATGCAAAGACCAGGGGGGCTGTGTTGCGCTTTTTGCACTCCCAGGAGACTAGGGAGAGGGAAGTGACGTAAGTGTGACTGAACGTATCTTAGCAACACCACGGATCGTGGAAACTCACCTTCTGACGCCATGACGTCATCGCAGTAATTAACTACGACACACTTCCGATGCACGGCCGTGAAGACACGAAGCCAAACGAGCGAACCAAGCCAACGACTCTTGTACTTGCATCGAGCCGACAGTAGCCAAGGGAGTGCGACGCTCACCGTCACATATAATTTATTTTACACGGCGTCGTAAATAAAAAAACTTTGAATGTTGATGAAATTAGCACGTTTTTCTTTAGTTGGACTGAAAAGAAAAGTGAAACCGAAGTTATGTGATGTAAAAGCTGCCGGCAACAATTGCGGGATGCGGACGCGCGCGTTTTTCGAAAACTGATAGCAGACGACAATTTACCGCCTCAATCATGTCTGTCATGTCTGATCAGGCAAGCGAGAAAGAGCCCTGCGAGCCAGTCAATGCATTACAAAAAGAAGAAATGGGCAATTTTATGTTTGCACATCGCGAACTGGCTCGTGGGGCCTCTGACCTCTCGCCTAGCCTGACCAGAGATGACAAGGCAAGGTTGTGGGCCGAGTTGACCTGCCGGCTGAACCACCTCGGGCCGCCGCGCAGCACAGAGCGGTGGAAGAGGGTTTGGATGAACCGCGTCTCCAAAGCCCGCAAGCGGTGCGCAGTAGTCGAGGCTGAGAGGTAAGCTAGACAGATGAGTAAGACAGACAGATCAGAAGATAAATACTCGGGACAGAGTTATTGATATATATTTTGTATTGATATTGTATTGTATTGTATATTGATATTGTATTGTATTGATATATATTGTATATATATATATATATATATATATATATATTGTATATTGATATATATATTGATATTGATATTGATATATATATATATATTGTATATTGATATTGTATTGTATTGATATATAGACAGATCAGTAAGTTAGAAAGATCAGTAAGACAGACAGATCAGAAGATAAATACTCGGGACAGAGTTATTGATATATATTTTGTATTCACAGCCGCAAAACGGGGGGAGGCTCCTCCCGGGCGCGGCTCTCATCAACCTACTCCCGCATCCTGTGCATTGTCGGTGTAGACTCTGCCCTGGGCGCCCCCGGGTTTCGTGTCCCCTACTTTCCGGAGGAGGAGGTACGTACTTGACCAGGGAACAGCACAACAATCTACATGTATTGCTTATTTCTGCAGAGTTCCAGGAGGCGGGGCAAGTGTATGAAGTGAACGCTTAAATCTGTATTTTAAAACTAATGGAAGCATTGCATTAAAATTTCAATGAACTTACCAGAGAAAGAAGTGAAGAAAGCAGGATTGGCACTTCGTTACCTACGTGGTCCCAAAATTGGGTTAAGCTTTCTGAACATTTGTTGATAGTTTTATTGGTGGGTTACCATAGTCATTGTTTAAAGTGATAAATATGAGCAACAAATAGTTAATTTATTTATCGGTCCCTTTCAAAATCCCGGCAACTCTAGGGTGTACAGAGGGAAAATTGACTTGTCCCTGTACAGGCTAACCCTGAAAGGACTGCACGTGCGATAACTATTAAAAACTATGGGACGTGTATGTAAATAGTTCCTGGGCTCAAGGCCATATCCAGGAGAGGAGGAGTCTGAGCTTCAAAATTCATCATGGACTGCCAAATACTTTTCCTGGGTTCGGCCCCAACTTTGCTTAGACCTAGAAACATTGATGAGAGCTGTAGTAAGGTGGTTAGTTTACATAAAAGGTGATTGAAATGACATGTAAATGGGAGTGGTACATCCTAGCGTCAGCCACAGCACTACCAGCTACATTCAGCTGCTGCAATGAATCATCTACTTATCTGTTTTTCCCGATAGTATGCAACATGTACAACTCTTATAGAGTAATACGCACACGACAGGGAGCAGCTACTTGCCTGGCGCTCACAAGAGGTTTACCACAAGTCATTCATTTGCAGTATTGTTTTTACAGCAAACTACAAAAGTTACTACAGGGGCAAACCTGTGTAGAATGTAAAGCTGGAGCATAGCTCCATTTGATTCCATAAAAAAACATAAGAGATTGCACATGTTACAGGGCATGCAGTGCAAACACGTAACGATAAATGTGCCTTGTAGGCACAGTCTGTGGGCGCCCCGGCAGAGGAGCACCCAGCTTCGCAGGATGCGGGGGAGGTGCTCGAGGAGGAGGCGGAGGAGCAGGAGGACGCGAATCAGGAGGCATCTACCTCAACACGTAAGATACTTGACTTGACTAAGGGGAACTAAAACCGTCAGCAACATGAACATGACCACACTTATTACTGATCTAAACTATGTTTTCCTGCAGAAATGCCACGGCCTCGAGCACGGCAAGCCACGGTTCGACCAAGGCTGCCTCGTCGAGTCCCTCGAGTCTCTCGACAGGAGCAGCGGGACGAGGCGGCCTTTTCGGCCGTGGCTAACCAGCAGCGCCTGCTCGACGCCAACGCAGGCCGCGATACGAGAGACGAAAGGTTCCAGGGACAGGTAATGTTGACAAATCCCTGAAGCACAGTAACATGATTAAACACAGACTTACTTCACACATAAGGCACCAATAGTTGGTGTCAGCAAAGTCTTCGTAACCTGTATGAGATCTTGGAAGTCAAGAAATCTGCAAATCATGTTTCAGATCACGCTCGGCATGGGGAAGGTCTTGGAGCGGCTGGACCAGCTGGCACAGAACGTGGGGCAGCTGGCGCAGCACGTGGAGCAGCAGGCGCAGAGCATGGACCGGATTGCAGACAACATCCAGGAGGGGGTCCTCTCCATGCAGCAAAACGCTGCCTTCATGCGAGAGGTCATCCTCCTGCTATCCAGCCACGCTCTGCGTCAGCCTCAGCCCCAGGCCCAGCCCCAGCCCCAGCCCCAGCCCCAGGCCGAGCCCCAGGCCGAGCCCTAGGCCGAGCCCCAGGCCGGGCCCCAGGCCGAGCCCCAGGCCGAACCCCAGGCCGAGCCCCAGGCCCAGCACCTGGCCCAACCTCCAGAGGATCACAACAACTAAGTGTTGATTACTGTACCTTTTTTTTCTCACATCCAAGGGGATCTTTTTTTTTATTTTGTATATATTTTTTAATGACAATGCCCCCAGTGGCTGCAATAAAATCTTTCATGACCTGTCAATCTATGTTCTCTGGCGAATGTTGTTATCTGTATATATTGTTTTATATGACAGTGCCTGAAGTGGCCGCAGCAACGTCTTTCGTGAACTGTCAACTTATGTTCCTTGGAGATTGCTGTTATTTGTATATACTGTTTTATACGAAAGTGCCTCAAGTGGCTGCAATAACATCTTTCGTCGAACTGTCACATAAAAAAAACAGAAGTTTGTTTTCACTTGCACATATAGTTTTGTACTGCAACGTGTAGTAGCATTTTGTGCAAGGAAGAAATTTGCAATGTTTGCAAAGATTTTTATTGCTAAAAGAATATCTCTGTCACAATCCACTCATGTGTACCCTCTTTGTAAACAACAAAAATATATCGAAATTCTATAGTCACAAAGAATACATAAAAATGTGGCACACCTGGGAAGTAAGAAAAGAATGGAGCACAGGGAAAAATGAGATCGTTTCATAAAGAGGCAAAATGATTTGCTCCCAGGTTACTTGGTCATACCTGTTACACAAGTCAATATCCGATAACACACGAGGAAATACATGACATAAAATAACAGAGTTTGCTGTGGGGAAAACGAGGCGGCCTGTCTGTGTTTGCCATATGAACTCAACTAACCAACTACGATCATGGACACATGATACACATTATCTCATATCTGTTGGAAAATAAAAGGTTATTCTATGGAGAGGTACACCTTTGGAACCACCGTTACACACTTAAAATCCCCAAATACATATTTCAGAAGCAGCACCATCCTTCTGCGAGGGTGGCACAATGACTGTGCTGAAAACTGTGAGGAGCAGGAGCTCAAGAGACTGCGCAATTCATGAACCGTCGTGCCTGTGGACTGGAAAAAGTTTTACGCACTTCTACGGGGAGCTCCCTTGGCACCAAGGGTGCTGATGAGGGCCTTGGGTATTCACGGCACCTCAGCCCTTGCGGATCTGCCGGCATGGTGGCGACGATGACGACGAGGGGCTCCCTGTCGTCGCTGGCCTCCCTGGACGGCAGGACTGCCAGAGAGGCTAGATCGACGACGGACTCCTTGGTGGCGCCGCCGCTGCTGGCGTAAGGAACTGCCAGAGCGGCCTGCAGAGGGCCCCGCGACGGCACGGCTTTGGCAGGTCTCGAACTGGGACACAAGGCCTTGCCTCAGAGCCTTCCCCCTGTCCGAGAGGCGCACCGGAAGGTGGGCAGGAACCTGCCCGCCACCTTCTCAGGCGCACCCGCCACCGGCTCAGAACCGTCCGAGCTCGACCCAGAGTCCGACTCTGGACTGTCAGAATCGGCATCTGGCTCCGGTTCTGGCTCCATCGATGCAAGGCATATATTGTGGAGCACTGCACACGCCGTTATAATGGTGGTGGCTGTTGTTGGATGGTAATACAGAGCCCGGTGCCTTTGCAGGCACCGGAATCTGGATTTCAACAGCCCAATGCAGCGCTCCACAACGGACCTCATCGAGGAATGTGCCTTGTTAAACCGGCCGCTGGCGGTGGAAGTTGTGTGCGCCCCAGGGACAGGGTGATGAGCCAAGGTTCCAAGGCGTAGCCGCTGTCTCCTGCGCAATCAGACAAAGAAATGTTCTAATATTGTTTTATTTACTGGGAAGTTTGATATGATGTGAAAAAGCGCAGATGGTTAGGAAGAGAAGGGGACAGGATACAGCGCTTTTTTCACATCATGTTTAACCAACTAATCCACCAGTTATTTTTAATTTTATTACTGCAAAGGCCAAACAAGAACACCTTTGCGCAGCAACTTCTTCCTGGGTACGTACACAGTGTATGCACAAGTAACAATGTTAGAAGCATCAGTTTATACAGTATTGTAGCCTATAATCCAGGCTCAGCCGACATGCACAAATTTAACAATTTAAGCATGCTCACCAAGCAGGAACCTGCCATCGTCGATGAGCCGGCCTTGCTCGAAGTTGTCGCGGAGCCAGGAGAAGCGCCAGGCAAAGGAGTCGTGCACCGACCCTGGGTAGCATGGGCCGATGCACATTACCCGGCAGCGGGCGTCACACACCTGTTGTAGACTTGGAGGCAGGTTCACAGTAGCAAGATTTTGAGTGGCAGTTTCAGACTCCGCGGTTGTGAATCACGCTGCTCGCGCCGACGACTCGTACGAGCAGCTAGTGAAGGACTCAGGGGAAACAGACGTGTGAAACGTAGAACAAGACGATGGTCTCCGGATGTGGTCCACGTACCTGCGGATTTCTCCAAATGTCATTTGCAGGAGCCAAGACCTAAGGCCAAGCTGCTTGAGAAGCGTTCCCTCTATCCACCTCGGCTTCCCGCTAAAATTCAGGGCAAACACTGGTTGTCCGTCAACAAAGCGGCGTGAAGAGGTTGTCTGTTCCTTTCCTCCCTCGCTATTTTTCTGGTTGCTTGCTTCTGGCTCTGGTGTTAGTTGGCTAACGTTTGACACAAGTTCGTGACCGAACATAAGCAGTGCAGGCATTTTCCCTGTCGAGGTTGTAACGGTGGGATGCTGCCAGTAGAGGAATCTTGCCAGTCTCACCAACACGCACACCACACACGCAAGATTGCCCGACCCAAGGGCCAGGACCAAATCTACAGCCCACCAGCATTCACTTCTACCCGAAACTGTTGTGGACTGGAATGGCCTTCCCGATAACAACGTCACCATCACAGATAACACGAAGTTTCGCCTCGTACTAAACCACTACTCCCCTCTGTAATGCCCCTCTTGGCCCTGGGGGTATTTCTAAATAAATAAATAAATAAAAGCTACCAGCTTTGTGTTTCTGAAGTGCTTGTTTCGGTTCATAAACCACGCGCTCAGCCTGGCCGTTGATGGCGAGATGGTAGGATGCGCTTGTCGCCGCTTTTATTCAATTTCGGTGGTAAAGGTCGAGCACCTCTCTTGATACAAAAACGCTCCCATTGTCTGACCCAATTTTCTGTGGCCTGCCGAAAGTCGCGAAAATAGCATACAGTTCCCGAATAACAGCTGTGGAGGCTGTCGAAGTCATCATTCTCACCTCCAGCCATTCGGTGCATGCATCCACGACAACGAGGAGCATGTGTTATTCAATCGGTCCTGCGAAATCATGGTGTATCGTATGCCGCGGCTGAGAGGCGTGCTTCCAGATAGGAACTGGTACCTTCACCGGTGTGCGCCTGGATTCCTGACAGATCGAGCAGTCTCCGACGGTGCACGTTCGATGTCCTTGTCGATTGAAGGCCACCATAAGTAGCTCTTAACTGTTGTTTTCATTGACACCCTGCCTTGTGCCCAGCGTGTAGTAATTCCATGGCTTCTGAACGTAGTGACGATGGAATGACCACACGTGAGCCCCATATGACACATCCTCGTTGAGTCGAGAGTTCGGTCAGTTTCTTTTTGTATATTTTTATTGGAAAAACGTTATCCCTTAAGGTGGTCGGAGTTTTCTTGCTGTAACGCGTTTAAAATCTGGGAGAGGATGGGGTCTTGAAGCGTTATGCTTGCCATTCTTTTTGCCGTGAGCGGTGATGCCGGAAGCGCCTCATCATCAGCACGTCTCCGGGCGGGCAGGGTTCGTCCTCACTGTCCAGTAAAGGAAGTCGACTTAATGCATCATCATTCCGTTGCCTCTTTCCCGGGCTATACTCGAGCTCATAATCATAAGCTGCGAGCTTGGCACACCAATGGGTCATGCGCGGAGACAGCACTTGTGGCAGTGGCTTGCGTGGTCCCAGAATGCCGAGCAGCGGTTGGTGGTCCGTGACGATAACAACATGTCGTCCAGCAATGTACTGGCGAAAACATAATGTCCCGTAAATAACTGCGAGGCCCTCTCGATCTTGTTGAGAATAATTCTCCTCGGCGTCTTCTATTGTCCTTGAAGCAAACGCTATCGGCGCTTCACGGCCTGCGCTGTCCAACTGGGCCAAGACTGCACCGACGCCGTAGGGGGACGCGTCACAGGAGAGCATGAGAGGCTTATACCCAATTCACACGGCAGCGTAAAGGTACCTTTGGCACAGGTACCTGTAGTAAAGGGAGCTGGAGATCGTAATCACACGGCGCATAAAGGTCGATTTCGCTAAGGGAGATCCTGTGTTAAAGGGGCCATGAAACGAATTTTGAGCTGGGATAAATGATTTTAAATTGGGACTTTACTAATCGCATATCATTTAGCTGGCCAAAAGAAAGAGGGTAGAAAGTCAACAGCCAGCTTTTCGGTACGAACATTTGAAAATATAGCGGACTATTTCGTACCTTCTTTCCTTCGAAAGCTCTCCACCTTTTCACTATGATACATTCGCGGTTCCCAAAGCGCTTCAGCGGTGCCAACGTGGCGCCAGTCGAGCCCAGCACACGCATTGGACACGAGAACTGCGTCACTCGGGCGTATGCGCTCGTCAACAATCAGTCCGTCGACGAATATTTGGATTCGCGTTCGTGGCCAATGAGTGCTCTGACGGAACTTTTCGTCACTGGCGAATTACAAGTTCTATGGCAGGCGTAATAAGCACGGTGTAAGCTAGGAGTCATCGCACCGGTGCCAAACAAATATCACGGCGGCGTTATTTCACGATTTGCATTCGAGTTGAGGATTAAAGCTAAGGAGGTGAAGTAGGAAAATCGTTTCATGACCCCTTTAAACGGAGTTAAATGTATATTCTTTAAAACAAACTCAATATATTTAAGTATCCAATTATTAAATGATTGTGAACACAAATGTGATGAAATAATACATTAACGAGGAACGCATACTCCAGCTAGCAGGTAGCAGCGGTGGAACGTGGAAAGCAATGTCTGCTACGAACCACGATGGACCACTGCGAGCTCTTTTTCGAGGTTGTAGACGAGTCGTCCGACTCTCCCGCCCAGGACCCTTTATCTTCGTCGTCGTCCATTCCTTTCGAT